ACCCGGGCCGGTCCGGTGTCGCGCGATGTCAGGCCCGCGCACACGGCCCCGTGCCGGCCGCCGCGGGCCCGTAATGAGCCCGGTGGCACTGTGATGAGCGGCGGCGGCCGGTCTGGCTGAGAGCCGGTGGGCCGTCTGGGGTCCGGGGAGGGGAGGGGGAGGAGGGCGAGCGCCGTGCCGGCGGCCGCGTCCCCAGCCTCCGGCATGGCGCCGTAGTCGGTGTATTAGCGGCGGGCCAGGCCGGACCGGTTATTGAGATGTCGGGACAGGGGCGATCGAACGGGACGGTGGCGCCGGCGGGGTGGGAGGCGTCACGGGGTGCGCGGTGTTGTATCGTGGACTGGCTCTGTGTGAAGAGTTATTTCTGCAGGATGCACTTATGTGTATCGGGCTAGGCCGTCACCGAAAGAATGGAACTTGTCAAGCCTTTCGGCATGCTGCGGACTTCAGTGGTCAGTCTTCTCGCGTACACGGTGACCCGAACCTCGGGGCGACACCGCTCTCCCCCGCCGCCTCTCTAAACGACCTGGCGCGGCAGCCAGCCGTCTCCACCCGCGGGGCTGTCGGCGTCGGCAGGTCCTGCCGTCACTCTCGGTTTTCACCGCGATCACGGCCGGTGCCGCTGGCCGCCGCCGCCCCTGATCCGGCCGGGGTGAGGCGCTCCCTCGGGCCCGCGTCTCGCCGGCCGCTTTCACTCTCGTGCCGGCCGCGCGCGCCGGCATGTGCCCGGCGCCGGCCGCGATAGGTCGCCGGCCGCCAGGTCAGACGATGGAAAGTGAGCGCGAAACCGGTCCAGCGCTGCACTGTTGCTGTGCGGCGTGGCGGTGAGCTGCTGTTGGACCGCTGAGCTGTGCAGCAGAGCCGAGGTATCTGTGCTCCGAGGACTAGACGGCTGAAGACTTTGTGTTCGGCAGGTGGCGTTGAAGGCTCTCTTTTTTTGGAGGGGGACAGTTTGTCCAGCTGCATCTCACTGGGCTCCGAGAAAGAGCTTGCTTTGATGTTGCTTGCCGATCGACGCTGGCAGCGCGATTTTCTGGGGATGTCTGGACTTCGGCACCTTGGCCCACGTACCGTGGACCGTTCGTCACGCTACCGAGACCGGCCGATGGGCCGCGCTCCCAGGACGGGCGGGGCTCGGAGCCGCCGCGTCACCAGCGCCGGCGAACGCCTTGTGTCGGCGCCAGCGGCGGCGGTTCGCGGAGGCCGCCGCTGGAGCCTGTCGCCGTGAGTCAGCTGGCGGCGCCGGCGGCCGGGCCGCGTCGGACCCGACGCTCCCTGCTCGGCGGGGGACGCGCCGGCCAAAATAGAGCGGCTGACAACGGTGCGCCTGGCAGCGCCTCGGGACCGCACCCCCCGGCAGGGACGCCCCCTGGCCGCGGTGTGACCGCTCGTGGGCCAGGTGCTGATGGTGTTTTCTGAGATACGTGGATACGCGCTGGTGGCCGCCGGCCTACGCCCTCCTTAATGGACATGTGGGATTCACGGACTGATGAAGGAATTGTGTGGCCATGCAGGGCTCCTTCGTCATACACCATCGCTCTCTAGGTGGTTTCGTGACCCCAGATGGTTCTGCTACCGCCTCGGTGGTGACCTGGTCACCTAATCAGGATTTGCAGATCCATCTCGGGCGCGCGTGGTCGTACGACACCGCGTCACTCCGCTGTGACTCCTCCCTCCCCCCCCCCTTCTGGCACGTGACGTCTCGTCGCCGGGCGTTCTAAAGCCTGGCGCCGGCCACGTGTCGCCTGCTCCTCAGACATCGCTGAGTCTCGGCGCCTTGTCAGAGGCGACCGACGCGCGCTCGAGCCCTTGGCGCGTGCCTGCCGAGTCGGTGTCGCGTCGCTGTTGCCACGCGGCTGCGACTCGCTGAGCTGGCGGTCGGTCTGTGCCGCACGTCGTCACTACCAGTCACGTGCCCACTGGCGGGCGCCAAACGAGAGGTTTTCCCAGAGCGCGGGCGAGTCCGACGCGCGCGTGTGTTGGTGTGTGTGTGTGTGGTGTGGTTGTGTGTGTGTGTGTGTGTGTGCGTGTGCGTGTGCTTGCGCGTGCGCGTGCGCGTGCGCGTGCGCTGTGTTTGTGTGTTGTGTGTTGTGTGTGGTGTGGTGTGTGTGTGTGTGTGTGTGTGTGGTGTGTGTGTGTGTGTGTGTGTGTGTGTGTGTGTGTGTGTGTGTGTGTGTGTGTGGTGTGTGTGGTTTTGTGTGTGTGTGTGTGTGTGTGTGTGTGTGTGTGGTGTGGTGGGTGGTGTGTGTGTGTGTGTGTGTGTGTGTGTGTGTGTGTGTGTGTGTGTGTGTGGTGTGTGTGTGTGTTTGTTTGTGTGTGTGTGTGTGTGTGTGTGTGTGTGTGTGTGGTGTGTGTTTGTGTGTGTGTGTGTGTGTGGTGTGTGTGGTGTGTGTGTGTGTGTGTGTGGTGTGTGTGTGTGTGGTGTGTGTGTGTGTGTGTGTGTGTTTGTGTGTGTGTGTGTGTGTGTGTGTGTTGTGTGTGTGGGTGTGTGTGTGTGTGTGTGTGGTGTGTGTGTGTGTGTGTGTGTGTGTGTGTGTGTGTGTGTGTGTGTGTGTGTTGTGTGTGTGTGTTGTGTGTGGTGTGTGTGTGTGTGTGTGTTTGTGTGTGTGTGTGTGTGTGTGTGTGTGTGTGTGTGTGTGTGTGTGTGTGTGTGTGTGTGTGTGTGTGGGT